TAACATTTTCCATTTTACAATTTTATCACCTACACAGTTGTTTTTAAAAGGTAGACCCCACAATACGTTCCTTTGAATAATTACTGCATTTAATTTATCATTTTGCTATATTTATCGAATATGCCACATGTCAACATACACTCCAAGTGAGTGTATCCACAGGCACCTTGTGAAAGAGCCGTGAGATCATTCGTAACTGCTAAAGTTTTTTTTTTGTTTTTTTCCCTGCTTATTAGCATTTCACAGATGACCTTTGTACCACACATCTTACAAACATATGTAGCGTTAGCCGTGATGGGTAATTGATATACATATTCTCACCAAATTAGTGGGACAAAAAAAATGAGTGTGACACTTCATACGAAGTTGAGAGTAGAAGTGTCCCTCGAGCTGTCAAACCCACAGCTAGACATTGATGGTTTTATCAAATTCTTGCAACAACAAAAAAAATATATATATAAAACTTTTTTTTTTTCATTGACTCCTTTCTTCCTTTTATAAAACAAGTTTATGACAAATCACATTACTTGAGTTGTTATTCAAACTGCATTCAATGACAGCTTCTTTTATTAAAAATAATTATGAATTGTCGTGGATGGCACAATAGCTCATTTGGTATGGATTTTTAAGATGCGGGCTTTCATACTTTATTCACTTTAGTGGCGTTTGAACAATAGGACAATAGTTTAAAAGGATTATATTTCAGTTCCTGAAGTTTCTTATTCTTTTTCATATTAGCCATTCTCTAAACACTTAAAGATAATTTGCTTAATAACAAGACATTAGAGACAATAACAAGAGATATGTTTTATGTTAGATTGCAGCCATTGATCTGGTAAATGGATGAAGTGCTTTGGGATGTTGTTATATTTATTGTTTTAGATGCAGTCAAGCTCCCCACTCTCTGTCACCTACAATATCAAAATCCTCTTTTCACACAAACACGCAAACAAAAAGCACAGGCGGTTATGAGGATGAGCCATGTACAAAATGTGTATATAAATATTTAAATATTTTTATTTATTTATTTTTATTTATATATATTTGTATTATTAATTACATATTTATTTATGTTTGTAAATAGACACAAATACATACATTTTACATACATACATTTTATTAAATTATAAAAAATATTTTAACACATTATTTTAACAGTGTACTAAATTTCTGCATTATATTATATTATATTATTAATGCATTATTTATTTATATTTTATCAATTTTCTCAGAAAATTCCAATAGAGTGATATTTAAAAAAAAAAATTATCCCATTTTCCATGAAATAGGAAAAAAATGATCTCATAGACATTTATGTTCCGTATCAGTTTTACACATGCATTTTAAATGTGCATAAATATTTTCTTAATGGGGAAAAGAAGGACCAGTTTTCTTCCCGATCAGACCTCAGGTGTTGAATTAACTTAATTTCCATTTAAAGAAAAATAATGAATTAAACTAGGGATGCTAACACAAGACTTGCTGTGAGTGGAGTGGTCGGAACTTCAGGGTTTTTTTAACAAATCTGTTCGTTACATGGCGAGGATTTATAGCTAAGTAAATAGGGAGCCGTCTTAAGTTCTGAAAATAGCGTGTTGGCCCAGCGATAATAGCTAAAGGATGTTTTAATAGAGTTCGGCATTTATTCGTTATCTGTATGTGGACAGAGACCGAATTGGCGCTATCGCTCTTTTTTTTTAATAATGTGGTGGTCTACCGTTGCACTTTTTTCTTCAACATCCCTCCCCCTACCCTTTCCGCCCGAAACGCACACATTTTTACCACACACGTTCTTGTGTGAGCGCGCACACATTTTTTTTCGCACACAAATACTCTGCGGAATAGTTTCGATTTCAGACACAGCAGAAGGCATGGCCACGAGAGATTGGGCAGGTTTGAGCCGGCGCGGACCAGATTTTTCAGGCTACAAAGGAAGCAGATTACCACTTGTATCGAGTTCTGTATTGGAAAAAAAATCTTTGTTTGAAAATCCGCTGATTATCATAACAGAAAAATTGCAGCAGTGCAGTTTCGAATAACAACCACATGAAAAAAACAAAAACAGAATGAACTCATCATAACATAATTAAACAATTTCGCAATTTTTTTTTTCCGCCATTTCCCGAGAAATGCTTGCGAGTTCAGGTAAAGCAACAAAAGACTGGTGGTCTGGTTTGGTTTAAAGAGGAAAAACAGCAGAAAAGAAGAACAGCAAGCTTAAAGGCTTCCAGATTCTCCTGGTAAATCCTCGGCGAGGGCTCGCAATCGTCCAAGCAGCACAAATATGATAGAACAAGGTTTGTTTGGTGTTCATTGAGACGGTCTGCAGGGTTGTGTATAGATCGGGTGAGCTCACAGCAAACCGAAATAGCTACTTCTATAGCGTATTCACAAACTTTGGCCTTTTGAATAATGCAGGCAACTCATAAATATAACTACATAAAAAAATACAAATAAATAAATACACGGCTAGGAGCTGCAATGCAGGCCGACTTATTTCCTGGTTCTCAGTATAGAAGTTAATTTTTTTTACTTAATATTGAAGGTTAACTTCAACATTTTAACTATTTTAGTGTAATTCATTTTTTAGAATTATATGTTTTATTATTATTATTTGTTTTTCCATAGCATGCTCATTGTGTTGTTAGGATATATATGTAATGTAACTTTTATTCTTTTGGGCTAGGGTTAGCCTTTTTAGTGAGGTATTAAGTTTATAATTCACGATCCGAGTTCGGTCTCTTTTCTGATATGATAACGAATGATTTAAAAATAGCGAAATTCAAAATGACCAGCGCACACAAAAAGAGATGAGAGGCCTTTAATAATGGCCCAGAGCTTCCCCTTAGATCTGCTAACCTTTAATCTCTGGCAAGAAATGGAGATAAAAAAATCACCCGCAACAGCTGACAAATTAAGAAACTTGTCCTTCCCCTCCTCTTCTGAATAAGTTGCGTGCTGCCGATAAGCAACTCACCTTTTGCCGAGAACGTGTGTTACATAAAGAGGCTTTAATGAAGAGCTTCTCTAAATGCTTAATGTACTTGATTAAGTTGAAATTACGTTACCATTCAAGAGCTGCTGAATTCACCACAAGACATGCATTCTCTGTTTTACTAGTTTTAATATGCTATTCCCTTTCATAAAAAATAAATAACCCATGCATGCGATTTCTTTTTTTGTTCCATGGTAGGCTGTTTCCATAATAAGATGCTACCGCTTGGCTTTATGTTTATGTATACGCATTTGTCCTTCATGGTAGCGAGTCAGAAATGACGGGCATGTCCTGTAATAATAAAAAGGAGCATTGCTTGGTGTCACTTTCTGTTTCTTAGGCCAGAAGTAGGATCCTGCGGAGTTGTTGTTAAGGAGCCTAAATCCTCAAAGCTTCCATCCTTACTGTACAAAATCTGTATTATCCTACTGTACCGCTAATGTTTTTTCCCCCCTTATGCCATATCAAGTGCTGTGATGTGACTGTTTCTCTCCCCCTCTTCCTTGATGATGATAGTTTAGACGTCGTGAGTTGAGAAATCCATTCCCAGTCTCTTTGTTTAATGTGACAGCACGAATCAAGATATGAATGATTACTGAAGAATCATGTGACGCTGAAAACTGGAGTAATGGCTACTGAAAATTCAGCTTTGTTATAAGACGTAATAAATTACATTTGAAAATATATTAAAATAGAGGACATTTTTCTTAAATTGTAATAATATTTCACAATGTTATTGTTTTTGCTGTATTTCTGATTAAAAAAATCTTGCTATCCTCAAACTTGTTATAGAGCATTTATTTTGAAAATAAGTCATTAGTTTCTTTAGTATACAGCAGGTATAAACGCCTTACTTATTTGCACCATATAAAATAAAGTATGTTTAAATGTTTGTTTACACTTTTTTTATTTTTTATTTATTAGCATACATGACTCTAAATTTAACACAATTATGGATTTACAACCAACAGCAGAGTTTTCTTTGTGCAATGTTAGGAAGCAGCCCCAGACATTCCCCCCACTCAGCGAATGAGAAATACAATAGCCTGCCTTTTAGTCCGAGATAAGGGGATGATTTGTAATGTCTTTTTGTATTTGTAGCATTCATCCGACTTGGAAGTGAGCATGCATGTGGATTACGGGAAAAAAGGCCATCGTCTCGATCTGTGTGTGCTTGTGTGTACGTTCGCTCGCCGGTATCTTCATCTCCTGTCTAGGGTTGTGAGTGTGAGTGTGTGTGTGTGTGTGTGTGTTTTGTTGTTTGGACTTGGGATTCCCCTATTCATAGACACATGCAGACACACACAGACTACAATATCTGAAGATCTTCATTCATAAAGGAAGCCTCCTCTCAGTGGAGGACTGGATAGCACTGCATCATGCTTCTTCCTGCTTTTGTAAAGATGTTTAGTAAGTGATTGCTTATCTTTGAAGATAACAGTATTTTCAATGCAAATTTCTGATTCTTTCTATCTTGAAGAAATTGTAAAGGCGCATTAAATATTTATGGATGGAAAAATGAAAAACCTTATCTTCGCTTCTGTCATCTTATGAAAGTAAAACGACAGTTGCATCATTTTACTAATTCATTACTACTGTAAGTATGTGTCATCCTGTTATGTACTGTAAAAAATAACAGCACAAATTCAAATATAATGATCTAAAGTGCCTGATCATTTTCTTTGCTCTTCCCCATCTCAAAGCTACACCAGAAACATTCAAGTAAACAATACTGCGCATGCTAGAAGATCCTCTTAGCTCAAATAAGAGAAGAAATTCAGCAGTGCCTCTGGTTTGGAGGATCTTTGTAGACTCTCCTGTCTGTGTTTGTGTGAACATCAGTATATTGTTTAGATTTCTTCACTTCCTATTGCTGAATAGTCCCATTTGTAGAGCCATACCACCTCCTGCATTTATAATTTACAGCCCCTCACAGTTCTGCGTTCTTTGCTACCTTGACTTGTGTGTGTTTCTCCTTTTTTTGTTATTGTTTTTCCCACATGGCCAAACAAAATGGGAGTATAGCATTTTTTTCAGCCTTGGGTCAAAAGACATCTTCAGTGGGTTCAGCCGCCTTTGTTTTTCCCCCAGAATGTAGAGTTTTTAAATCACACATGTTTTTCCCTTCCCATTTTACTGAATTTGAATCAAAGCCTATGCAGCTTATACACACTTAGCCTGCTTTTTAAAACTGTACTTTTCCTCAGCTGGAAAACATGTTTAAATATTTAGCACCCTTATTCACAGCTGTTTGACACTTGTAATTCCTTTTCTTACAAGTCCCAAACAAACGGTGGAGAAGATCACATAGTCAGTCTGAATCATAGCTGTCATCATTATTCACTTTGACTCTAACACCCCCCCCCCCCCCCCCCCCCCCTCAACAACACGCA